CCCCTGCTGGTCTGCAGGTCTGCTGGAAGTCGAGGACGGGGCTCCCTCTGTATTTATCGGGCGTATTGCACACAGGGCTGCGGGGATCGATCTCAGTCAGCAGCCTATCTGCCCGCTGCTCCTGCCTGTAGACACTGAATTCATTATCAGAGATCCAGCCCTGCAGATAGGCCAGGTCACAGTCACAGCGCCAGGGATTCCCTGCCAGGAAGACATAGGCGAACATGTGCTCCTCTGGGAAGAAGCCACTGGGCAGAGTGCGAAGCTGGTTTCCTGACAGTCGCAGCGTCTCCAGTTCCAGCCCAGCCAACAGCCCCTGTGGCAGCTCCTCCAGGGTGTTATCGGACAGATCCAGGTCCTGCAATTTAGCCAGGCCCTCAAAGATCTCTTCTGGCAGTGTCCGCAGCCGGTTCCCCCGTAGATTCAGTTCCTTCAGCAGCTTCACATCCCGGAAGTGCCCTGGCGCCAGCTGTGTAATATTGTTGTGAGCCAGGGCCAGGTGGGTGAGAGCAGGCAGGCCCTGTAGTGAGGGCAGCAGCTCCAGTGCATTGTGGGACAGAATTAGCTCCTGCAGCAAAGGCATGGGGGTCCCAGTTTGCAGTGCGCTCAGCCCGTTGTATGACAGATCCAGGTCAATCAGCTCCGGGAGGTGCTGGAAGGAGGCAGTGGAGACGGATGCCAGGTGGTTGGTGCTGAGCAGCAGGATGCTGGTGTTCTTGGGCAGGGGAAGAGGCACTTCCCTGTGCCCTTGCCCGGAGCAGTTGACCTCCAGTCGGTCCTTGATCTTATTAATCTCAGACGGGCACAGCTCCCCCAGACCCACAGCGCCAGCCACGGAGAGCAGGCTCAGGAGGGCAAGGAGGGTTGGGGTGGGGTACGGCATGGTCTGCAGGGGAGGTCAAGAGCAGGCTCAGGGCATAGACATCACAGGGCATTTCTACACTCACCAGTTCAGACTGCAACACTACAGCGACCATGTGAACACGGACTGTGGCTTATGACCCCTCAGGCTGGAGTGCTGAGAGGCAACTCCCAGGGGGATGTACCTGCCTGGGGCCCACAATGGTCCCATCCACAGTAACCCAGCTAGTACTGGATCCAGGGTTGGGTCCCCTGAGCTGGTCCTAGCTCTAATAACATGAGTTCTCTAGTTCCCTGGGGCACTCTGAACCAATACCTGCACCCTGGTCATAGTGGGGACCATCCACACTAACCCAGCTGATGCTGCAACAATGTCAGGGACCTGCCATCGGCACCACTTCCAAGGAGTTGTTTCCCCCACACCTCCAGGCTGGACTAATCTCAAAAGGTTTGGATCAATCCCTATAATTTCCCTTCCACCCAATCCTGTATCTTCTGCTCTCCTGATATCTGGGGCAGTTGTGCCATCCATGAGTCACTGTTTCCCTCCTCCCCCCATGTAGTTAAAACTTCCAGACACAACCCCCCTGTGTCCCCTGCCCTTGCTTCCATCAGCTCCCCCGGTATATCCAGCCCCTGTGTGCCCCATTCCAGAGGTGGCACATCCCTGTATAAACAACTGTCTCGCCTCCAAAGTTCCCTTTACAAATTGCTGCCCCACCTAAGATGTGGCTGCATCTCACTGATACTAAGCTAGACTCACCTGAGGTCTCTGCTGGACTTTCTCTCCCTCCAGTGTCACCCACACTCCCAGCTGTGGACTGAGCGTTTGCTCTGAGGGCAGCTTTTCCTACTGTGCTGACTGCATTAGTCCAATTCCCATATCAGCCTGCACAGCTGCAGGGGTGGTTTCCGGTGACATCAATCAGAGACACTGCCCTCCTTCCCCTGTTCTTACACTCAAGGCATTAAAAGCCCCCTCTGATACACTCTCTAAGGGTACATCTACACTACAGAGGAAGATCAAAGCTGCCACTGTTGATCTTCCAGGGTTCAAATTAGTGGTTGAGTTAAGACAGCTAATTCAAGGTGAGGGGGTGCTCCTGGTGATGCCAGTAACCCTCATTTCATGATGAATAAGGAATGTCTAAGGAATCATTTTCTTCCTTTGTCTTCCTGCAATGTAGACAATACAAGTTAAGCTACTTCAACTTCAGCTACGCAATTAATGTAGCTGAAGTTGAGTATCTTAATTCAACACTGTCCTGTAGTGTAGACAGACCATAAGCTACTAGTACACCCTAGAAGCTGTATCTGAGACTTGGGTGAGGGATCCCAGTACAAATAGCTGGTCCACTCCAGAAGGGGGTGGCTAATGCTGGCAAATGATGATTGCACAAGTATCTTCACTGCACCACTGGGCAAGAGCTAGTTTTATAAAGATCCTTTGTGCCCTTCCCCAGAAGTGGCTGCATCTAGATGCCTAGATTCCAAGGCCAGAAGGAACCATTGTGATCATTTAGTCTGACCTCCTCTATTACACTGGCCAGAGAATTGCCCCAAAACTATAAATTGTCAGTGATGGAGAATCCAGCATAGTCCTTGAAAAACTGTTCCAGTTGTTAATCGCTCTCGCCATTAAAATTCCAGGCCTTATTTCCAGTCTGAATGTGTCTAGCTTCCACTTCTAACCAGTGGCTCATGTTGTACGTTTCTGTGCTAAATTGAAGAGCCTGTTATCAAATAGTTGCTCCTCATATAGATACTTCTATGCTACATCTACACTGCAGGCTTCTTGCGCAAGAACTGTTTTTCTCAGCAAAAATTATTGCACAAGAGCGTGTCCACACTGCCATGTGCTTTTGCACAAGAGATGTGCGTTTGCACAAGAGCATCCATGGCAATGTGGACGCTCTCTTGGTCATTTCAGCCTGTTGCCCATCCACACTGCCTTCTTGCACAAGAGCTCTTGTGTAAGAGGGCTTAGTCCTAGAGGGGAGAGGAATAACTCCTGCATAAGAAGCCTTCTGTTCCGATGCTTTACTGTAAATTTACTTGTGCAAGAATACGCATGCAGTGTAGACACCCCACAAGTTTTTGCACAAGAATGGCCATTCTTGCGCAGGAAGCCTGCAGTGTAGACGTAGTTCTAGAGATAATCAAGTTACCCCATGACTGTCTCTGTTTGTCTCTGGGTGTAAAGGAAGGGATCTCTCTCTAAATATTGTTGGCCACCCACAGCAAAGGCAGCTGTCTTTCAGTATAGAGGCATTCCCTTATAAAATAGCCCTTTTTCCCTATACCAGATCCAGCTTCCAGCCCCTGTCATCGCCAGGAGTGGGAGCCCAATATAAACAGCTTCCACCACCCAGTGGAGAAGCAGCCTCGTCTCAGCTCTGGGTGGGGGATCCCAGCTCTATAGCTTCTCAGTATGGCATAGATTAACTGCATCAGGAGCTTATGGGAGTTGTTATTATTAACTACGGAAGGAGTGACTGGGGTCTGGGCAAGGAGATAAATGGGGGCAGGAAGGGATTGTCCTTTGTCATCCTTGCCACTCAGTTCCTCTAGCAAAGCCATATGTCCCATGTCCCATAGGGCTGTTAGAAGCCCACACAGTCTGGGGGCTACAGTCCTGGAGTCTTGTGTGTGATTCCACTGGGATTAACTATCTCCTCCCCCTTAGACTGCTCTATGGCCTGTCAGTGCTGTGAAGTTTTGGGAGCAGGGGTTAGGGAATCAGTGGTCAGCTGGGACTCCCTGACTCCAAACTCCACATGGAGGGATAGGGTGAGGGGCTATGTGAAGGAGTGCATGGATGTGGGTCAGGCTTTTATAAATGGGTGAGGATCCTGGCCCACATTGAAAGGTGAGAGGCTCAGACTCCCCAGGTCTTAGCAAACACTCAGAAGGGGAGATTATGGGGCTGACTTGACTTGAACTCCAGCTGCTATTCTACCACAGTTTCCCTGCCGCTCACCCCTTATTCTCCTTTCCCTGTGTAATTCCCCCTCACTAGAGCCCCCCAAACGTTCTCCCCACCTAATCCTCATGTATCCCCATTCCCACAGTACCCACTCCCCTCAGTGTAGCCCCAAAAGGCTCTCTCCTCTCTCCCCCTCATTCCTAAAATGCTCTTCCACAGCAAGCGTTCACATCTATTTTTTTATTTACCAAAATACTTTGATTACTCAATAAAATAGAGTACCTCTCAATAAAATAATACAAATCCTGGGCAGTGATAGATTTTTTTCTCCAACTTTTTCCAGATTTCTGCCATAGGTAGAACTTAAAAGGCCAGGGGGATGGTTGGGTCCAGTTTAAAAGCTTACGGCGTTTGGATTATCCTACTGCAATTAAATGTATAGGCTATAAACGCTGTTCACTTGGATTATCCTGCTGCAATTAAATGTATAGGCTATAAACGCTGTCTGTATATTCTCAGTGTACTGTATTTGATGTGTTAGCCAAGACATAGTGACATACCTCCTGCAAGAACCAAACTCCTTGGCTGAGAAAGATTAATAAAATGGAGACTATTCAGCTTGGAAAGGAGATGACTAAAAGGGGATGTGACAGGGGTCAATAAAATCATGCATGGTGTGGAGAAAGTAAATAAGGAAGTGTTGATTAATCCTTCTCATAACACAAGAACTAGGGGGTTACCAAATGAAATTAATAGGCAGCATGTTTAAAACAAATAAAATAAAGTAGTACTACATACATTTCATAGTCAGCCTGTGGAACTCCTTCTAGAGGATGTTGTGATGACCAAGGCAATAACAGGGTTCAGAAAAGCTAGATAAATTTATGGAGTATAGGTCCATCAATGGCTATTAGCCAGGATGGGTAGGGACAGTGACCCTATCTTCTGTTTGCCAGAAACTGGGAATGGGCAACAGGGGGTGGATTACTTGTTCAGTTCTGTACCTGGCACTGGCCATTGTTGGAAGACAGAATACTGAGCTAAATGGGCCTTTGGTCTGACTCAGTATCACTGTTCTTATGTTACTACGTTCATAATGGTCTGGACAACCTGGAGAAATGGTCAAAAGTAAATAGGATGAAATACAATAAGCTACTCCATTTAAGAAGGACAAAATGGGAAATGACTGTCAAGGAGTACTGTGGAAGAGCATCTGGCAATCATAGTGGATCACGAGCTAAATAGGAGTCAACAGTGTAACTCTATTGCAAAAAAATAAAAATAAAAAATAACAAAAAAAGGATTCTGAAATGTATTAGCAGGAGTGCTGTAAATAAAACACAAGAAGGAATTCTTCTGCTCCGGAGTATTGTGTTCAATTTTGAGCCCGATATTTCAGGAAGGATGTGGACAAACTGAATAGAATCCAGAGAAGAGCAACATGAATCAGGTCTAGAAAACATGACCTATGAGGGTAGATTGAATTGAAACAGATCACACAAAAGCCCAGGAGAAACTGGTAACTGTGTTAGCAGAGCAGGGGGTGGATGCTGGGTAGTAAATAAGGCAAGGATATTATTGAGCAGCTATCAATTCAGTGAACACAGCCCACCCTGTGCTCTAAATAAGGCAGAGGTCCAGTGGAAAAGACATTATGTGATTATGTAATTAAAGACTGCAGCCTGTGCTCTAAATAAGGCATTATGTGATTATGTAATTAAAGACTGTAATCATAATGCATACACACTAGGGAACTGAAATAAGACTGCAGCAGCAACCTTAGTTCTAGTATTTCCAAATCTTTTAGGGTTTGACGTTGCACTTCTAACATTCCTTTAACATAATTTATTTGGATGTAATGTAGAAATGCCTAGAACTCCAAGATCAACGCCCCACTGTGCTGGGCACTGCACAGACACACAGTCACTGAGAACTGCACCTCGTTTTGTCAGGTGTCAGAGAACCTCCCTTTCTGGAAGAGTTTACACATTCAATAGATTTGATAGATATTGAATGGGAGGGGAAACAGAGGCACAGAGAGGAAATGAGAAAGTCAGTAGGAACAGATGCCAGGTTTCCTGGATTTTTGTCTAGCTCCCATACCCCTCCTCTGTCCAATTGCCTCTTCTGCACCTCTCAGTCTCTCTCAGCCTCAGTTCTCCATTGCGTGTTTTAGATGATGCAGGCCAGATTAGATAAGAGATCACTCCTGGCTTTCGAATCCACACATCTGTAGATGTTCTCCCTCCAACCCTTTGCCTGTGCAGACTACACCCAGTCCAGCACAGGAGGAATTGCCTCTCTGTGTGTCTGCACCGCAGAAAGTGCAGTCGGTGGGTTAAATGTCTCCGGGCCAGACTGTTGCGGGAAAGTCTGGTCCAGGGAGGTTCGTGCAGCTCTCACCTCTCTGTATCACAGTGGCTGTGCGAACAGGAGGCTGCAGCTGTCGCCGCGGGGCGGGGGACGAGGGAGGGCTTGAAAGCTGAGCGGGGAGCGCTGGCAATTCAATAGTCCCCCCCATGATCCAATCCCAATTAGGGGCTGGCCGGCAAGGCAGGGGAGGGATTCGCCGGGACTGACAGCAAACCCAGCCAGTCCTGGTTTTGCAGAGGTGGGATTAACCCTTCTCCAGGATCCTTGTCACTTCCTAGGTAGGACCAGCCTCTCAGCATCGTCTAGGGCTCCCCCACTCAGGGATCCCCCCCCCACTGCCCCAGCTCCGCAGCACATGGGCATCTGTCGGCTCCAGGGGACCCCCAGACACGGGGAGAGGGGGACTCAGCATTTGCTGGACACGCAGAGGGAACAGGGAGTCGGAGTTGCTGGACCAGAAGAGCAGGAGCTCCCGACCCCAGGTATGTCCCCACTGCAGGAACCGCAAGGGAAAAGGGATCCCTAATTCCCCCTGCCCTTATCCATCCCCACCCAGGATGTGTGGGGGGAGGGGCATTCTCTGTGCAGCTCCTGCTGAGACCTGAGGAACACAAAGCTCCCACCTCAAGAGGGGGGCGGGGGGGGGGGGCTGTCTGTACCTTGGGGCAGGGAAG